TCATGGAAAACTTCTCGCCGGGACCCACTTCACACCCGGAAGGAGGATCGGCCGGCGGCCGGCCGATCCGACTGGCCCTCCCTCTCATGGAAAACTTCTCACCGGGACCCACTTCACACCCGGAAGGAGGATCGGCCGGCGAAGCCGGCCGATCCGACTGGTATTCCAATAAGATGGGTCCCGCTCTGGACGTAGGAACAACTTGAACCCGACCTTTCAGGAGTGAACATTTACGGCTGATGTGAAGAACCGACTGTAAGCCGAAACGAATGGGGTAATTTGGCTCAAGCCCAGGAGTTTTGTGCAAAAACGAGTTGTGTTCAACTTGGGTGCTGTGCATTGGAGACATAATGATATGAAGAATTTGTTACGACCACTCACATTACCTTGTTTGATACAAACTCCTAGCCAAAGACCTCGAAAGAATCCCATTAAGAAGCGGGGGGGGGGGAGGGACAGAAGGGGAGGATGATCACTTCCAGTGACTGACTCGCAATAAAAACCAGCAGTCAAAAGGGTTAAGTTAAAAGGGTGTTCCTGCAGCCAAGTACACTCCTTATCCCTGAGCCAGAGTAGGCGTGGCATTTGAACATGGCACGGAACTGGTTACTCGTGTAATATTCCAGTCTATGACAACTGTCATCTTGTTCTGTGTTGGACAAGACACGAAAACAATTTTGTCAGGATGAAAATATCTTACCAGAGGCGTAGACTCCTTCAGGTTAAGTTCAAGGATGCAGCCACACCTACCCGATCTCAGGGATTTCGAGTATACTACCCGTGCTCCCTCACCCTGAGGCACCTGATCGCATAGTGGGTACTTTCAAAATTTCTCCCAATAACGCGTTCCCTGAATTTCCTCCCTCGGTACGACCCTATTTCAGAAAGAACCGGCCATCTTATAAGGTGTTCCCAAGAACTTCGCCGAGGGATAAAGAGTTTTCATTAGCATGCAGATTTTTCCGCATGAAACGGAAAACCAAATCCCAATGAGAACTCTTCATAGACCAAAGACGATCCTTCAACCGAATACGACGTCCCATTGAGATCCCCGCACCTATCAGAAATGACTCCATTTATGAATTTCACAACAATTAGATACCTTCATTCAAAAGTACCATCCTAGCGCGACGGACCATCAAGAAAAATCACGGATAAAGGAGTGACTGACCTCGTAACACTACTGGCGGACATAGGCGATGCAGCTTAAACCTGTTGAATGGATTCCATGATTTGCTGCAGGCACTCCATCTGTACTGAATAAAGTGGTGTACTGACAATGTTGTCCATTGTTCCATTGTGCTGCATCCATACATACATGCATATGTACATGTTCTACAACATTTATTGAATTGGAAAATGTAAATTTATCGGTTATGGGCATGGCTGCGGATTGCCATGTGGAGGAAGTCGTTGAGGATACAGAAACAGTGCATTCGCGCTGAAATAACAGCGTTTCTAAATTCTTACTGCACTTCTGGGCGCACTTTGGCCTGAAAAGCAGTATACACTTTCGCTGCTTCTCATCGACATGTCGCGCCATGCAGTGAAGATTTGTGAAATCTCGTGGAGCCATGAAGTGGTACCACTCAAAGTTTCTGAAAACTTCTTTCAGCAATGCGAAGAACACCTGTCAACTTTTGCAGAGTAATGAACATTACTGTGGGAGGTAGTGAAAGTGCAAAATGCCCACCCGAGCCGAACTGCGCCCATTTCTTCATAATTAGACAAGGTGCAAATGAAGTGATAAAATGTGCCTCAACCATGTAAACCAGTCTTGCACCTACACCGTGGGCCAGATAGTACCCCCTCCCAAATTAATTTCAGGCCTACATCAGTAGGTGTTTCGAAATAGTGACGTTAAGAAGACTACCGTAATTTCGATAACTAGACGTCATTAAAACCTGTTCACAACTCATGCGGATCCATCCGTTGAAAAATCAGCATCTTACATTCTGATCTGGTTAGCTCAAAGCTAGGAGTTATTCCAGTCAACGGAGCATTTTAGTGCAATAGTTCTTACGGATTGCGGCAACACCTATGGACACTGTCCTGCTTGGAAGGGCCATTTCGCCTTTCCTTCAGTTTCTTTTGCTGAGTCGTGTTCGTGGATTACGTGTTACACCTTTGTCAAACCTGTGGACTCTTGTCAACCGTAAACGATGTTCCTGCTATTCAATAGCTTTACAAGAATCCACAGGTCTCCACGGGAGGTACCGGCAGTGCTCGAGGGGAATCAGTAAACTGCCCCACCAAGTCGAAGTGCTTCCCCCTCCCCATCTTCCACAAATATCCTTTTAATGCAATCAAATGCTACAATCTTAGCCTCAGCACCATTTCTTTAGAACCTTTTTCAGGTCATGTGGCATTTGGGGCTGGAAGATGCTATTGGGAATTGAGAAACCATTGTGAGCCTGCAGGGACGAGACTTTTTGCCTGACCCCAACAATGAAAGATGTCCAACAAGGGATAAGCTACTTCTGAGCGAAAAAAGGTTTCTACTAGCCGAAACTGCGGGGGAAGGAGATGGGGTATCACATTTCCTGGAAGGTTTGTAACCGAACAAAAGACGTGAAAAGAAGTTTTACATTGGATTATCTGCATCAAAATATCTAGTTTTGTTAGATTAGCACCCATACCATTTAGATGAGTGAAATCCTGACGCTGTTCGGCTCGGAGGGGCATTCTATTGTTGTAGTTTCTTCTGTTACTTCATGGTACCACAGGTCTTACTTTGGTGGACCTGTTAATTGTTGCGAAACTGCTGAGTGCTAAAAGGCTCCTTTTGCTGAAATAGTTGACAATACTTCGTAAGGTGACCTGTACAAACTCGCCTAGTTCCATTATGTGCCCCCACCAAACGGAACTGCCTCCAAAATTTTCCCTCGTCACTGAGAAATTCTGTAGAATGTTCAAAAAATTCAATACAAAGTTGAAAAGGAATGTAAAAGAGCGAGCGACTGAAGAATGGCGAAAAGTCGATGGACAACAGATCAGATCAGTCTCATAACACCGTCAATATAATATTATGCGAAACGTAGTTGCAGTATAATATTTATTATGATCTACAGCGAATAAATACCAATTAGGCTTTGCTTCCGAGCCTAGCCGGTCTCTCACCGTTCTTTTCCATACAACTTGTACTTGAGGTGCCGGTGTGGCTCGCGAGATCAGTGGTGACGATCGTAGTGATCATGTCGTGACCTACCGCGTTGGTTATCGACTGTATCGACTCTGGCGCCCAAAAAGGGCGGGAAATGTCGACGCGAGGCCACTCCGGCAGTTTTTCTCCAGTTTGCTGAGGGAGAATGCGCCACGCGGATTGAACCGCTTCATTTTTATTAGTATCAACTTCTAACAGAAACGAGCAACAAGTTATTTCATATTCTGAGGGTGGTCCCTCGAATCTTATTTTTTTGGTTTCTTGACGGTAAGGCGAGGTGTCGAGGGCTTCTCCCTTGCTTCCGGAGATCTCCTTCGTCTCGCGTGTGCTGCTCTTTCGCTCGCCGCGTAGGTTTCCTTGGTGCTGCTGCGTCTGCAACAGGAATGCGAATGAAGAAATCGATCGGGTGGGAAGGGAGGGTGTTTGGTATTTATTCGCTGTAGATCATAATAAATATTATACTGCAACTACGTTTCGCATAATATTATATTATAATCAACAGCTCATAAATACCAATTAGGCTCGTTCAAATCACCTTAGGATCGATTTCTGATAGGAGTCTCGCAAAGGCTCTCTCTGGTAGAAATTGCGAAAGGTTGAACTCCCTGGAGCCCACGCGGCCGCTTTCATTATTGTCTCTAAGGACACGCCGTGCTTGTATGCTTTGGATGTGCCTGCGGAGCGTGTTGAATGAGCTGAGAAGTCACCTCCTACCCCGGCTTCAACTAGTACCGTCTTAATCCACCTAGCTACGGTGGCCGCGGAGATTGGTCTGTGAGGTGAAGCGTAAGAGAGTAAGAGTGCCTTCTCCCGACCGCGGAATGCTTCCGTTGCTGCGAGGTATTGCTGTAAGGTCTCGACAGGACAGAGGAGACTGTTGTCTTCGTATGCCTCGTACACGGCTGACTGGGGTGGACCGTACCTGCGGTTTTTGTTTCGATAGTCGATAAAGAACACCCAGCGATGAGCGCTCCTCTGGAGGCTCCCCAGGGAAAAGGAAGCTATCTCTGACACCCGCTTAGGGGAACACAGAGCAAGTAAGATAGTGAGCTTGAGGGTAAGCTGCTTTAGGGACAGCAGTGAATTTTCACCGAGATTTATTATGTAGCTTAAGACCTTGTCTACGTCCCACGTAGAGGAATATTTGGCCTTCGGAGGGTTGGCACGGAAGAGGCCTTTCATGAATCTCACCACGAGGGGATCTTCTCCTCAGGTGGCCCTAAACAGCAAGTCTGAGATTAGTGGCAACCGCCGCCTTGTGAGATGCAACAGATGAATAGCTCATTCCCTTATCCGCCAAGCGAGGCTAGGAAAATTACAGAGGGTTATGTGGTTAGCAGCAGCTTGTTCGGTTCCTACCTGTGTGAGGTAGATGTGCCACTTATTCAGAGATGAGGCATACTGCCGTCTAGTATTTGGAGCCCAGCTGGCCAGGATAGTATCAACCGTCTGCTGGTTGCATCCCGCAGCGGCCCAAGATTTGGCGAGATCCTCCAGGCTAGCAACGCGAAGTTCTTCTGTGCTAGCAGAGGATGTCCCTGCCCTTGAGCATTGGACAGGAGCGGACGTGCGCTGCATTTCAGCCAGACCGGTTGTTCCACTGCGTGTCTCAGAAGCAGAGGAAACCAAGTCTGGCTTCTCCAGAGAGGAGTGACGAGAATCAACGTTGCCCCGTCTCTGACTGCCTTCCGGAGAACTCGTCCGATCAGGTTGCACGGTGGAAAGGCGAATCCGAAGATCCCGACCAGTTGTGCGCGAAAGCGTCTACCTTTGACGCACCTGGATCAGGATTCAATGAGTAGTAAATATCCAGCTTGTGATTCGAGTCTTGAGGCAAAAAGGTCAATCATAGGCCTGCCGAAGTGTGAAAATATTTGTTGTGTTAAAAGGTTGTCTAAGGACCATTCACAGACCTCCCTGGCGAACACTCTGGATTCTAAATCAGCTTCTTGATTTTCCCTTCCGGGCCTATGGGTTGCGAGGATGCGTATGTCTCTGTCCAAGCACCAAGACCATATTCTTTCCGCTATCTGGGACAGTTCCGCGCTTGTCGTGCCACCCCTACGCTTCAGATAGGCAATAGCCGTTGTATTGTCCATCTCTAGAAGCACGCTAATGTTCCTTCCATTTGTCTCCGAAGGACTGTAATCCAAATAGGGCTGCCAGGAGTTCTAGCACGTTGATGTGGCAAGTTGCCTCTTGCTCGGACCATCTTCCCCCTGTGCGCCTACCATTACAAACCGCTCCCCAACCTCTCTTGGAGGCATCCGTCACTATAGAGGTATCAGGAGAGAAGTGAGTGAATGGGTGACTGGCGTAAGCACTGAGATTATCGCGGAACCAGAGAAGGTCCGCATTAGTTTCTTCTTCTAGTGCTATTGTATTGTTGAATGACTCTTTGATCAACGGATTTGTCTTATTGGCCAGCTCGCGCTGCAGACGCCGCGTCATATGGGTAGAATAGGGGGAGGCCATTGCTACGAAGTTGACGCGTCCTAGAAAGGCCGAGAGTTCTCTCGCCAATATAACTCTTTTCTGAACTAGAAACGAGGCTTCTGTCTGGATTTGCTCAAGCTTGCTGGGAGGAATTCTAAACTCTCCTCTCCCTGTATCTATGATCAAGCCTAAGAATTCAAACTCTTGGCAAGGGATCAATCGAGATTTGGGTAAATTTATAGAGAGACCCAAGTACTCGAAAAACTGAATGGCGTAAGCAACCTGTTGGCGACACTCACTCTCCGTGTCCGCAAAAAAGGCCCAGTCATCCAAGTAGTTGATAACTCTTATGCCGCGCGCACGAAAATGCGCGGCCACTACTCGCATTAGCTTGGTGTATACATAGGGGCCGTTGCCAACCCGAATGGTAAGCAGGTGAATCTGTACAGAGTCTGGGTCCCACCAAAACGCCAGGTAATTTCTGTGTTCTATAGATATGTTTATTGCGAAATAAGCGTCGCGCATATCGATTTTGGCACAGAAATCCCCTTTGAAAGCCACATCTGCTACCGTGTGCAGGTTGTCCATTTTGAAATGGGGGATATCAAGGTAGGCATTGAGAGGCCTCAGATTTATTATGGGTCTTGTGGAGCCATCCTTCTTGGGAATACCAAACATTGAAGAGACCCAAACTTCAGAGTTAAGGGGAGCCTTCTCTATAACGCCCTTTTTCCAAAGTAAAGATAACTCGTCCGCAAGATTGGCGGGAGTCGCTAGAATCTGCCTCAATGGAAGTGAAAGGCAAGGTTTAGTACTACCAAAAGGGATCCGGTACCCCTTTATGGTTTCTAATATGAAGGGATCTGACGAGATCGTCCCCCATGCTTCTAGGAAAGTCGGCTAGCCTACCCGCTATGCGACCAGTATGAGGACTAAGTGCTACAGCGCTACCCTTGCAAACCGACTCTCTATCGGAAATCGAAACAAGCGACAAATGAGAGATAGAACCGTCTGAAGAGACCAACCTGTCCTTCGAGTGACGCGGTGGTGTGGCCTTTCTCTTCTTGGCGCTCTGTGCTCTCAGTTTCTGCAAGGATTTTGTTATGGCGGAGTCTGCTGAGGCTAATTCATCGCGCAGTTCCTTCCCGAACAGGTCCGGGATCAGTGTCTGACGCACGTGATGCACCATAGTTGAGCCCGCTAGTGGTAGTCTGCGATACGAAGGCATCGCTCTCCTCGGTTCAACTCCCAGTGCTTTGAGGAACCGCTCTCTGCGAAGTATAATTAGGTCCATCAGGGACCCTGATACAAGGGTGTCCAGTATTTCGATATATCCGATCACTGAGGCTGCGAAGGCGCTTCCTTGTCCGTCTGAGCCCAGTTTTCGGATCAGCTCCACTATGTTGAGAACATTCAGCAATGTCTCGTGTAAAGTGCGAAGTTCTGTTCGCGTATGAGGATGGCACGGTCGTTGTCTCGCGGGAGCTGTTCGTCGATCGCTGGTACCTCCCCGAGTGGAGAGGCAACAAGCGGCAGCTCTCTAAGCAAGGTAGATCTCTCGGCATGGCTCAAAGGCATTCCTGCTGCGAAGGAGTCGAAACGCTGTCGTGCCTGCTGAAATTGCAGCAAATATAAGTTCGAGGCACCACAAAGTCTCAAGAGACTATTTAAGCCAATTACTCACCTCCGAAATAGACACTCTTACCCGGAGTGTCTTCTGCGGCACTGCTGGAGGCGCTGGTACCTCGTCTTTGGCTGAACGAAACTCATCCCTTCTCGGAATGCGGATATCCGGCACCGGAGGAGCTAGGGGTGAGCTGTAGCTTCTGCCGCTCCCCTTGTCAACGCTCCTCTCACGAGACGTTGACCTCGACCGAGAGTTGCCGGCCACTGTCCTGTCCTGCGAGTTCGAAGAGGCGGAAGAGTGGTCCGAGTCGGAGCTGCTGCGGCTGGACCTTGAGGCCGACCTCGAGCGGCTCATCTGCAACAGGAAGATTTTTGCCAGAAATCTACTAGATATTCTTGCAGATGACAGGATTCAGCAGGTGGAAGGAAGAAGAGTGGACCCTGGTTGCACTGCAATCGAGGGTCGGGAGAAGAGAACCATAGCTGGCGCAGGGCGTCAGCGACGATGGTTTTCGAGGTAGAGACGTGAGCGGTGTGTACTGCGAAGCAAACTGGAGAAAAAATTGCCGGAGTGGCCTCGCGTCGACATTTCCCGCCCTTTTCTGGGCGCCAGAGTCGATACAGTCGATAACCAACGCGGTAGGTCACGACATGATCACTACGATCGTCACCACTGATCTCGCGAGCCACACCGGCACCTCAAGTACAAGTTGTATGGAAAAGAACGGTGAGAGACCGGCTAGGCTCGGAAGCAAAGCCTAATTGGTATTTATGAGCTGTTGATTATAATACAGGGAGGTGGGAACTTCACCATAGCTCACTCCAACTTGCTTTTTTCACTTCGACCTGATAGGATTTGGTACACGAATACGTACAAATGGACCTCTTAACTTGGCGGCCTCAAATTAGGGAGAGACACTTCTCTTTAAGTGGGTTAACGCCATAGAGGAGGGTTATGATCTACGGCTATGAACCGCTAGCTCACTGATTGAATAAGTCTTGAAAGCCAATCGGATCTTTCTTATTTCCGTTATCATGTTGAAAAACGCCGAACTGCTAGTTAAACACTACAGTTGGAATGATTCTCCTCTTCCTATAATTACATATATCTGAAGCTACATATATCTGAAGCTACGTGTATCTGAAGCTACTCGTTAGCGAGCGCCTCTCGCGCTAAAGTGTAACCTCAGTACACTGGATGGATGAAGACTTGAGAATGAGTTTTTTTTCGAATTTTAAGGTATTTCTTTGCAGGGTAGGCTTAAGCTTGTCCAGGTGGCGAGTTGAATATAACGAGACACTAGGTGTCCTGGAAGGGGCCCACTCTAACGAGGCGAGGCACATAGCCGTTCAAGGATGCAGTGTTTTAATTCGAACGTAAGCCATGCAACGCAGGAAAAAAAACGCCCTTAAGTTTTCTCAAAACAATTGTGGTGGGTTCTGGGCCCTCATAAAGCACGGGTGCATGTAGGTAACTTGTTAATGACGTCACTCAACCCTTCAGTTGAGACGCCATTATTTTTCGCAATGCAGGTTTACTTGCAATTAGCACGATATTTGACACGTCATCCAATCAAGAGGTTAAAGGCAGCGTCCGCGATCAACCAAAGTGAAAAAACCCTCCAATGAAAACGAACGCGGAGTACGCAACCACAGCGGAAATCCCACTCTTGCGGCTCGAAATCGATTGGTTGACGAGGGCGGAGTCAACAAGGCTGAGCTGACGCCTCCTGTCCTGTTAATCCCGCCCCGACTGGTTAACAGTTATCAGTGCTTGCTGGCATTGATAAACGCTAAGTTTCTGGAGTTCCGAGGCGGCGACGTGTATTGGAGAACTCACCAAAGGTCTGCGAAACTCGTCCACATGCCTTAAATTTCGTAGGGTCTTATTTCACGCTCTTCCACACCTTTTTCCTACTTTTTTTGATTAGTGCTTCATTGGCCACCTGTTCTAACAAATTTGACCCCTGAGACCTGCCAAAGTCCATCGCGGGCGCTGTCTTTAAATGACTTTTGGGAGCAGTTCGGCGCTAGGGAAGACAGGTATTTCGCGCGCTCCTTTCCATCCACGCGTCGAGCCATCTATTAGGTTGGCCCATAAGTAATGACGTTTTTGTCACACAAACTTTTATATGGAAAATGACAGTTGTTCCCAATATATTCTACACTGTTTGACAGGTAATTTTCCGCACTATATGATGTACCAGTCGGATCGGCCCCGGTGAGAATTTTTCCATGAGTGGTCCTTCCGCGTGTGAAGTGGGTCCCGGTGAGAAGTTTTCCATGAGAGGGAGGGCCAGTCGGATCGATGGTCGAAAAAATATTGTTTTGAGAATTACCGCACTTTACCGTTTCACTTCTTGTATATACCCCCCCCCCCCCCCCTAGAAGACAGTCGTCAAAATTTTCTATGCGGCACTCCCCTTAGTGATGAGGAATCGCAGAATTAACTATTGCCGACGGTACCAACCATTTGGTACACTGTCTAGGGTTATCCCTCACTAACTTCATCTGACAAACCACTGCTCAGTTTCACCTTACTCCCCATTTTGTGTGGTTTTTCGTATGCGTTTTGAGGATTTTTGCCCTCGGCACCGTTCACTTTGGCGAACGCCCCGCCCGTCAGGGTGTGCTTCATTGATTTCGACCGCCAACAGATTGCCTATCGTTTGCCACTTTTTCCGCTCTCGGGGCTCTTTTGGAACCGAACTGCGAATTTTTGAAAGTTTCGTAGCAAGCACCGCCCACCTATAGAACGCCCCGCCCAAAGTGGGTGTGTCTCACTCATTTCGTCCGCCAACCGATTGCCTATCGTTTGCCACTTTTTCCGCTCTTGGGGCTCTTTTGGAACCAAACTACGAATTTTTGAAATTTGTAGCTCACAACTGTGCGCACGCCCCGCCCACAGTGGGCGGAGCCTAGCTTAGTTCATGTGTGTTCCGTATCTTGGCCCATGCCCTACCCAACCCACCCTTGACCCGCCCCCTCCAACTGGCTCTTCAGGTGATTCCGAATTTCCGGACAGACAGACAGACAGACAGACAGACAGACGTTGCCGTTTATATATAGTAGGATAATTGCCTTCTTACTATTTCTCGACTTGTGTCGATTTTTATTTCATTGAAAGGGAAATTCGGGTCGACCCAAAAGTGAGTTTTCGACAACTACTTTTTGAATTTTATCTCGGCTCTCAATCTACAGAAGAAGCTCAAACCTTGTGGTATATATGAACAGATGCGTCTTATGACAGCTTGAAGTTGGTTCAAGTGATTAAAAGGAGGTGCGATTTCGGACTTTAAAGAGCGTCGCGCGGGGGGCCTCTTGGGGGGGGGGTGCCTGAGAACCTACCAACTTACTTTTGAACGCCTAACATCAATGAGGGTAACGATAATGATAGGAGCGCTGTTTCATCGACGGGGGCATTTTGCACTATCATTGCTTCCCTAGTTCCGGTTTACAAATCTCACTCTGGTAAAACTTGTGAACGCTTGTGAAGCTGGAGCAAGATCGTCTAGCCACCATCCTAAAACGTGTCAACTCGAGAAAAGGCTACCTAGATGGGTCGGCACATCTATGGAAAGCAGAATGCCCCCCCCCGTCGACAAACTGCGCCGTGATAGGGTAATGATAGTGCTTGGTAATGATAGTGAAGCATTCCATGACCTCTAACGGTTCCTCAATCCTTGGCAAGTCTCCGTAAATAGGGTAATTCCGTAAGCTCTCAGTTGGACAGAATAGGCAGAACCTCTAACGGTTCCTCAATCCTTGGCAAATCTCCGTAAATAAGGTAATT